CGGCCCAGGATCTGCTGAAGAAGTATTCCTACATTCGGAAAACGAGGCCGGACGGGAACTGCTTCTACCGAGCGTTTGGCTTTTCCCACCTGGAGGCTCTACTGGAGGACGGCAAGGAGCTGCAGCGGTAGGCTGGGGAATCCCGGGACGGGGAAGGCGGGGAGGGGGATCCCCCCGAGACCAGCGGATGTGAAGGCGCCAGCCCAGTGCAGAAATTCACGCTTTTTGGGGTGTGTGTGTGTGTGTGTGTGTATCGTTTCAGCTTCAAGGAAGTGGCGGCGAAAAGCAAAGAGGTGCTGGTTTCGCAGGGCTTCACGGAATTCACCATTGAGGACTTCCATAACACGGTGAGGCCCCTTTGAAGGCCACTGCTGGCCAGCCTGGCCGGGGGTGATGGGAGTTGGGGGTCTAACCCAGGGGAGGGGGGGGTCTCCAAGCTTGTCAACTTTGAAGGCTTTGTGCACCTCGTCTCCGATGCGAATCAGAATTGGGGCGCTCGGCAACCGCTTCGTATTCATGACGGTCGCAGCATCCCCGGCTTTACACTGTCCTCCTTTTGCGGCCTTCTGAGGAGCAGAGTCAGCGGGCAAGGAAGGTTCACTTAACCAACTGGGTTCCTAACTTAACCTTTTCACTTAATGACTGTGGTAAAAGGAAGGTCGTATAAAATGGGGCAAAGCTCCCTGAACTTAGCAACCCACTTAGCAACCGAAATGTATGGCTGTAAGCCAAGGAAATGGACAGGTGAGAGGCAGGCACCCCCTTGGCAGGAAGGAGAAAGCCTGGGAGTTTGCGGGGGTGGGTGGGGAGGGGTGAGGTGTTGGAACCCCCCCCCCCGCCCCCCTCAAATTTCTCGGTCGAATCCCTGCAGTTCATGGACCTGATCGAGCAAGTGGAGAAACAGACCACGGTGGCGGAGCTGTTGGGCTCCTTCAACGACCAGAGCACCTCCGATTACCTTGTCGTCTACCTACGGCTGCTGACGTCCGGCTACTTGCAACGGGAGAACAAGTTTTTCGAGCACTTCATCGAGGGAGGACGGAGCATAAAGGAGTTCTGCCAGCAGGTCAGTTGCGGGGGCTGCGCGGGGTGGGGGGCAAGGAAAAGGGGAATGAGTAATTCAGGGCTGGAGGGGAAGAGAAAGAAGGCAGAGCTGAGGCCTTAGCAGGGCTTCCTCTCTGCGTTCAGAGGTCTTGGGCTCTTCCGGTTTCACCTATAGTTATTGTGAATGGAGCTTCTAGTCCTCATGATCGAGAGGAAGGAAGAGGCGTGTTTGCACATGGACTTTGGGAGCAATGATTTTAATGTCTGTCAGACTGAAATTACTAACTGTTGGTTGGCCTAGAACAGGTTTTCTCAACTGCGGCGGCTTTAAGATGGGGGGGGCCCTTCAACCCCCAGAGTTCTCCCCACATCTTGAAGCCGCCAAGGTTGACAAAGTGGCCTTAGAGGTAAAGATACGGCGGTGATGATAATCACCTGTGATTACTGGCAATAGATTGGCTGGAATTTCGAAGTCACCATTGCAACGACACCCCATTTAGCAGGCCTTCGTGATGGGGGGGGGAGTATTGGATCCAACAACGGGGTACCCTTCCTCCTTTGAGGAAGGACTGCACCAGCACGGAAAAGTTGGGGAGAACGGTCTGCGTGCAGGGAAAAGCCTGGGCCACGTAGCCAAAGACTCCCCAAACTGTGGGGCCTCCACTGCCCTCAGCTCCCCAATGGGGAAGGGGTCGTGCAAATGACCGAGAACCCCGGAGTGGGGGTGATGGGGAGGGGGGGGGCACCATGTTGTGTAATCATGGATGGGTCCAAGGTCAGGCTTTGGGGGGGGGGGATCTTCCTCCACTTTGCAGGATTATGTGCAGCTCGGACGGCAAATGAGGCCTCCGCAGATCCAGCAAGTTTCTCTTTTTATATATAAAACTTACAGGCCCTCTTACCTCAAAGGGAACTCGGGCCTGTGTTTCTAGTCCTCTTGAAGGTGAAAGAGCCCAGCCGATTGGGGGCGCAACTCCTCCTCAATGTCTGCCTGGGGACCCAAACCGCCTGTCGAGCCCAAATTGACATCTGCGTAGCCATTTTATTTAGCCTTAGTTTATATTCCTTTTCTTTCTTTCTGGTTATGGGGGGCGGGGGGAGGGTTTGGGGCTTGCCACACTCCTAAGGTAGGAAGAGGGGAGACAGAGAGAATTGTTTAGGCTGGGTGGTTCTCCTTCCGGTGGGAACGAAAGCTGAGACCTGGAGGTGAAGATGGATGGCACCAAGAAATGTCGATTTGCTTCTATGGGAGGATGTGACTTTTGGGGGCTGTTTCTAATTTCCGTGGTGTAATTCTTGAGTCATGTCAGATCCGGAATTGACCACAAGAGTTTGCCAATTTTAACGCTTTCTGAGAGAAAAGGGGCGGTCCTGGAAGGCGGTCTTCGCTCTTTTCTGTCTAAACGGACGCCATCGCTTGGGCTTCTCTTCCCGGCCCGCCCTCCCCGTCTCTTCCAGGAGGTGGAGCCCATGTGCAAGGAGAGCGACCACATCCACATCATCGCCCTGGCTCAGGCCCTCAACGTCTCCATCCTGGTGGAGTACATGGATCGGGGCGAGGGCGGGGCCACCAACCCCCACGTCTTCCCCGAAGGCTCCGAGCCCAAAGTGTATCTACTCTACAGACCGGGACACTACGACATCCTGTATAAATAGACGGGGGGGGGTAGGAGCGAGGCAGGTGGCTGGTCAGTCAGCCCACCCACCCCCCCTCTCCCCCTCCATCCCCCCCCCCCCCCCCCCCCCCCCCTGCTGATGTCCCCCCCCCCGCCCCCCACCCGTGTTTTTCCCACCCACCCACCCCCCATCCCTCTCGCCGGGCAGCCTCGTCTGTGCTTGTAAATGGTGATCGTTCCTGCTGCCCGTCTCGCTCACTTGGTTTGTTTATTATTATATATTTTTCCCTGCTTTTGTTGCTACGCTCTTCTTCTGTGTTTTATTAAAGGGGAGGCTGGTGAGACCACCTTTCTTTCCCCCCGCTTCTCTCTAGTGTTTCTGGGAGAGGGAGCCCCCAGCCCACGACGGAGGAGGGCGCACGGGCCCCTTAGGGCGGGGGGGTCTCCAACCGTGGCCACTTTAAGACCGGAGGGGGGGGACGACTGCCAACTTGAAAAGACGATCCGGCTGATGAGGGATTCAACTTGGAAGTCCATAAAAGTCCTTAAAAGTTGCCACGGTTGGAGACCCCGAAGGGCACACAAGCCCGCAATCTTTCTTTTTTTAAAAAAAAAATATGCAGAATCGGCAGGCCGCACCCCGCAAGATCCTAGTCCTCAAGTTTGGGAGGAAATAACCATTTTTAGCAGGGAAATGGGCAGGGCAGCTCTGGATGTGGCTTCCGTCTTTCAGGAGGAGACCGGCTGGTTGTCCCTTCCGTAGAGGTCACTCACTTCCTCATCGGGGAGTTCCCTGAATTTAATTCCGATCCCTTTTGGGGCTTTTCCCCCCCCCTTTTAAATGTAAGGCTGTCATCTACAGGGAGTCCTCGGCTTATAAAAAATTCGTTTAGCGACCGTTTGAAGTTACAACAGCCCTGGAAAAAGGGGCCATTTTTCACATGGACGACCGTTGCAGTCTCCCCTGGTCACCCGATCGACGTTCTGAGGCTCGGTCACTGGTTCGTATTTTCGGTTAACAACTCTGGCAAGGAAGGTCGTGAAAAGAAAGGCGAAACTCGGACGTCCTCTCTTAGCGAGAGAAATTCCGGGCTCAACTGTGGCCGTAGGTTGAGGACTTCCTGCACCCTGAGGGGCTTTTTTTGGGGCCTGGAAGCCGAGATGGGCTAACGTTGTGATCTGGGAACGGCGGCTCAGCTGGAGGTGGGGGCTGGCCCACCGAAGCTCTTTGGCAAGGCAGGAACCCCCCCACCCCCACCCCCAAACTGCACCGCACAAGGCTGCAGCCGGGTAGAAAAAGTCCATTTGGTGACATTTTTCTCCCCCCTTGGCCAGGGACCCCTCCTCTTGAGGGGGCTCGTGTGTGCCGCTCAACAGTTTGTGCGTTCGCACGTTGTGTGCCGGTCAGGTCGTGCTTGTGTGGAGCGCAGGAAAACCACAGCGTGGTGGGAGGTGACTTGCCAGCCTCTCGGGAGGAGAGGAAGGAAAAAAGCGCTCCCCTGGAGCTGCCCCCCCCTCCGTGGTTTGCTCTGCCTGAGGCCCCCGCCGGACGGTGCCATTTTGCTCCCTAACACACACACACACACACACACAGACAGACAGACAGACAGACAGACTTTCCCTGCTAGTTTTTCAGGTCCTCCTCATAATCCCCCCCTGCCCTCTTTCCCCCCCCCTCCCCCCCCCCCCCCCCCCCCAAGAGCTGCTGGTGTCGGGGGACAAGCCTTCTTGAACGTTGCATTATTTTACAAAATGGCTTTTCCGTTCCCCCAGAAGTGAGAACCGGGCCTTCCCCCCCCCCCCTTGAAGCAGCTGAGCTCAGAGGTAACGGCAGCTTGTCTGCGGTTGAGCCATCCCCTGGGCAGCTGGGGGAGGGGGAGGGTTTTGCATCGTGCCCCCAGGGCCGTCCCTTGGCCGCTGGCCGGCGGCATCTAGCAAGCCACTGCCCTGTTTTTTTTGTTTTTTTTTTTGCCACCGTGCCAAAGCGAGCAGGAAAGTCTCGGCTTCGGGTCTTTCGTCCCGGTTTCTCTGCGGAGGCGCAGAACGAGGGCCGGCTTCTTTTTCCCCCTGGTTTTAGCCTCTTTCGCAGAAAATTGCCAAGGACAGCACAGTGGTCTGCCAAAAGGAGCGGCCCGAAACTCTCCGTCGCTTTAAGTCTAGCCGGGATAGGCCGGGAGGCGGGGGGGTCAAGTAGGTAGGCGGGTGTAATTCTGTGTGTGTGTGTGTGTGTGTGTGTAAGTACTGTGTATGTGGGTGTTTCACACAGGACCCCAGTCCCGCTGCTACTCACTCGCCCCCATCCACCCACCGGGCTTTTACCAGCGACACGACTGGATCCTCTTTTCATTTTTATTCCGGCATTGCGCCCGATCGCGCCTGGGGAAGAAGAAGAAGAGGGGGGGGGGCTGTTTTCTCCTAGCTTGGAAAAGATCCGGCGTCTCCGTCTGCAGGGAGGCCGCGGGATTTGCAGGGAGCCACTTCAGAGCTTTGAGGACGGAGGTTCCTCACCGGCATCTGCTGGGAAAAAGGAGGATTTCGGGTAAGCGTCCCGTTTTCCGACAAAGCACCTGCCCCGGGTGAGCCCCGGGTGCCAAAAAAACCACCGTGGGTCAGTTGTGGCACCTTCAGGGGGGAGGCGGGCAAGTCCTGACTTCAGCGATGGAGAAAAGGACAGTGGGTCAAACGTTTTCACAGTGAAGCGGGCAGCGGGCACAGGAGTAAATAAACCTAAAATCTGTTTTAAGCTTGACCTGCGTTTGCCTAGTGCAGAGAAAAACATGATCCACTGTTGATCCTCCTCCTCCTCCTCTTAAAATTGCTTTCTCTTCTGACTTCGTGGGGATGATTCCAGGCCTGTGACTTTACCCAAACGTGGGAACGTTACGCCCTTTAGGAGCCATATCCTGGTTTATTCCTTCCCGTTCTTTTAACCGTCCCTGCTGGGGGCTGAACCCTTCTGAATCTAACGCAAGTCGGACGGGACGGCCTGGCTCTGTGGCTTTGTTGGTGTGAAGGGTGAAAGCAGCGGGGGGGGGGGGAAATTCTGCATTCTTCATGCAGGTCCAACCCAGAAAGGCTAAAACACCGCGGCAACTTTCATAAAAAGAGAAGAGGCCAGAACGGTGACCGAAAACTGCGGGGAGTTTTATTCTGCTCCTACAGAATTTCTCTCTTGTCACTTGGTTGTGCATAAAAGGAGAAAAGACACACAATTTTCCTTTTGTATCACTTTGCGTGGCCTCGACTTACAACCACATCCGGGTCCATTGTTAAGCAAGGCGGTCGTTCAATTGAGCCATGCCCAATTTTGCGAACTTTTTTTTGAGGGGGGGGCATGTTAAGGAAATCACTGCAGCCGTTAAGGGAATCATGCGGTCGTTAAGCAAATCTGGCTTCCTCCATTGACTTTGCTTGTCATGAGGTCACAAAAGCGGGGCGGGGGGAGATCACAGTGACCCTGGGACACCACAACCTGTCGTAAATACGAACCAATTGCCGAATGTCGCTCACGAGCCCGTGACAACCATTGTAAATACACTACGGTTGCATTGTGGCGTGTGTGTCCAAATATACACACGCCGGTTTGTCAGGCATCCAAATTTTGATCACGTGATGGTCGTAAGCGTGAGGACCAGTTGTACGTCCCTTTTTCTCAGCCTCGTAGCTTCAGTCGCTAAACGAATACGGTTGAATATGTGCGCAGGCCGGGAGATCCCTCCGTGGGCCCTCCGCGTATCTTCCCAACTCGGAGCAGAGGAAACACCCAGTTTTAGTGGGCAGAGAAAACCAGGCTAAGACACTGTTAGGCTCAAGCCACAGCATGCGTTTCCCCACGACTGCACTTTCGCACACCGTGCTGGGAAATGCTTACCGCCTTCGGCGCATGGGACGCGGGGGGTCAGGCTGGAAATGAGAGGAAGGGTGAGGAAGGCTCCCAGAAAGCCCCTCATTGTCCTTTCACCACCTAGATAAATCACGGTTTCTCAATCCAGGCCCACTTTTAAGACGCGTGGATTTCAAGTCCCAGAATTCGTTGCTGGCTGGGGAATTCTGGGAGTTGAAGTCCACGCGTCTTAAAGTGGGCCAGGGTTGGAGAATCACTGACCTAGACAGAGGCCCCGAGCAGTGACTCACCGATGGGAAAATACTTGGGCAGCTTCTCCTTATAAATTTCGTCGTCCTTTTCCAGGAAAACACAGACGATCAGCCGCTCGACCTGGCCAAGATATAACCACGGTTAGCAGGAGGAGGAAGCTGGGGGGGGGGGGGGAGGTCAGGACGGCACTTTGGAAATGTGCGGGGCCCGCCTTCACACACTGCTTGCACCTGGCCCAATCCAAGTTTAAAGATACCCTTATCTCAAATCAGCATCCGGGTTGAAGGGATTTCTAACACAGGTAAGTCATGGCTCTTCAACTTTTGTCACTTAACGAACAGATATTAAGTAGAGGGCTATAAGTGGAGAGCACCACTCCAAATTCTTTGCATGGGTTTTCTAATAACCCCTTTAAAAGAGATTTTTTCCCCTATCCTACAGTATACACAACCCCCATGCAAGCAAAAGACCAGCTGTTGGCTGAGAAGCTAATATTGTGTGCTTGGTCAGAAAGAGACGCCAGGCAGAGCCAAACCGCGGCTTTATCCAGCTCCTGCCAAGAGGCCTCGGCCCGCCCGTATACCTTGTCCTTGTTGTCTTCTAGCCAGTTGTGTAATGTGTTGAGGACAACCTCCGCAGCATCGTCGTTCGGGTAGCCTGTGAAGGAACATTGGAAGTGGCCGAATACCTGGGCAGGTGTCCTGCCCAGCCTTCCCTCTCCCCTGCCTTGGTACTTACCAAACACCCCGGTGGAAATACAGGGGAAGGCCTGTAGGCAAGAGAGGAAATGGGGAGAGAATGAAGGTTAAAGGACGGGGCTGGACTCCCAATACCAAGTGGTCCCTAAAACTTTCCTCTCGTACGGAGGTGAGAAAAAGGGGCAAATCCTTTTTCCTTCCTCTGCAGCTGGGGAAGCATCAACTTCCAAGGAGGGCGACGTGGGCAAAAGGCGTCTTGTGCAGGAGGGACACTAAATGGGGAACGGAGCCAGAGATCCTTCAGGTCAAAATCGCAGCGAAGTTGAATTGTCTCTCGATTCAGCTGAGAACGTAAATTCTACCGTCCTTCCCTCATCATCTCCCCTCACTCTACCCCCCGCCCCGTTGTTTTGGATGGCGTTTCCCTCAGGGTCTCCTTGAGTAGGGGGTTGGACTAGAAGACCTCTAAGATCCCTTCCAGCCCTGTTAACTCAGCCAATGCGTTGGACTCTTCAGTATCCAAAGCTGGCTGGGCATCGCAGGTCATAAGTCGAGGAGGCTTCTCGAACCTTTGCTAAAAACAGCCTCTGGCTCTTCTCCCGTCCAGGTGGAGCGAGGTTTAAGGTGATCCCCTGGACAGCCTTGGGAGCATCTCCGGGCCTGCGTGGTGGAACGGATGTCTCAGACCTTTATGACTGTATACAAACCCCAACTGGGCCTTCAGCTGTGGCTAGAGAGTGAGCCCGTCGCCTCTCCTCGCCTCTGGTCTTCCTCGACACTCTTTGAGTTGGAGTCTGTCATTGTTTTAGCCAGTGGATTTATTATTGAGCTTCTGCCACAGAAGCAGATTGAGGCTGGGAAAAATGAAAGTGGCTGCTTACCTGCCAAGGTAAGTTCAAATTACAGAGTTGGAAGGGACCTTGTAGGTCATCTAGTCCAACCCCCTGCCCAAACAGGAGACCCTACATCATTCCTGACAGGTGGCAGTCCAGTCTCTTCTTGAAAGCCTCCAGGGATGAAGCTCCCACAACTTCTGAAGGCAACTTCTGTTCTATGGGTTGATCGGGTCTCCCTATTAGAAAAGCTCCTTAAGCAATACTTAGAAATGGATGAATTAGATCCGTGTTTTGCTTCTTTAAGAGGTGTGGACTTCAACTCCCAGAAGCCCCTGCTGGCTGGGGAATTCTGGGAGTTGAAGTCCACCCCTCTTCATTGTAGCCAAGATGGAGAAACGCCGGTCTTATTCATCCATTTCTAAGTAGCATTCAACGAGACAGGCAGCCTCATGACCTCCACGCGTGATGGACTCCAGCTCCCATCGTCCCCAGCTCAAGGGACGGGTGGTGTTGACGAGCGCTGCTGAAGAGAGATCAGGGGACCACCAGGTGACCCCCCCCCCCCTTGGGCTTCCAGGTCCTGCTTGGTCTACTCACCACCGTTTGCAGCTTGTTCTCCAAGGCGAGTTTCAAGCTGTTCTTGTAGCAGTCGCTGAGTTCGGTCTGCTGCGAGGGACTGGGCTGGCCCTGGGCGATGGGCCCCACTGTGTGAATCACAACTGGAAGGCAAAAGTGGGGTGTTGCTAGAAGCAGCCCCCCCCTCCCCCAAAGCCCCCTCCCTAACTTGCTCAGAGATCTGAGGGAGAAAAGCAGAGACTTCCAACGAGCGGGGGGGCTCTCTTCCCCGCTTTCCACTTGCAGAGCAGAGCCAGGCCGACTTTGTGATATGCTTGAAATACTTTTACAAATTAGCAAACGAGAGCCTTAAAATAATTTGCTCCATATCCTGGGGGGGGGGGGCGGGGGGCGTTTCCCCCCTCCCTAATCCACAAACATTTATCCTGCGTTAAGGTAGCCATTCTTGGACCTGGTCCACGTTGCTTTCATTTGGCGTGCACTTAGCCACCCACTTAACCAAGCGGCAAGAGATATATATATATATATATATGTGTGTGTGTGTGTGTATTTAATGTCCGCTTTTGTGAAAATGAAGTTTACACACTCGAGCAAATCCAGCCTCGGAATGATTGTCGTTCCCTTTTGGCTCCTTTGGCACAGCGAGATAGAAGCCTTAACGAGGAAGCGATCGTTAGGAACTTGGCCCGTCTCCGGGCCTCCTTTTCCCAAGTTTCCTTTTTTTTTTTTCCCCCTTTTCCCCCACCGAGAGTTTCTGGAAACTCCCTTTTCTGATTCAAAGCTGCAAAAATCCCTTTATCTCTTTAGTTTGAGCCTCCAAGGACCCCTCTCAAAAAAGCCCAAAGAACATTCCTTTGGATTAAACAGATTAAAGAGAGAGAGAGAGAAAAAAAAAAGGCAAAGCTCTCTCACAATCTGTTATCGATGCTTTGAAACCTGGGAGGGTCCGCAGCATCGGTCAGGCATGTGTCACGCACCTTTTACATGGGGAGGAAGAGTTGTTGTCTTGGTGCAAGATGCTTAAGGAAGCACCTGCAAATATATATATATATATATATATATTCAAAACCACCCCTCTTTTATTGGCCTGTTCCTCTCCTTGGGGGGCCCCAGAGTAGCAAAGAGCAACGAGCACATGTGAAAGTGGCTTTGCAAAAGGGGAGAAGGAGGTTAACAAGCCCAGTTGGGGAGGGGAGAGAGGGAGATTGAGTTCCCCCCAAACCTCCTTCCTGTTGCCTCCTAAGAAGTGGCTGATAATGCTCAGGGTGCAAAGGCCGGCTGGGGTCACCAGGGGGGGGCCCTCGCGCTAGCAATCCCTTTCCAGGGAGGTGCTGTGGCCTTGTGCCCCTGTTCTGCCTGTGGCGGTGGGGAGCTGGCCTGTTCGGGCGATGGGCCAGGGTCGGCCCCCCCTCCAGGGGTCTGTCCGAGCAGCCGGACCCCTGCGCTCGGTCGCTCCCCGGTGTTTGCCCGCTGACGTGGTTGCCCATCTGCTCCGGAGAAGGCGGGGGAGGCCTTGCCCAGGCTGGGCAGGGGAAGAAGGGGGAGCCACAGCTGAAGGCCCCCTTGTCCCGCCTGAGAGGGGGACGTCCTCATCGGTGTCCCCGATTTAACCTTGGTTTGGGGGGAAATAATTGAGTGCTGGTGCTGGAGAAGGCTCAAAGAATGGGACAATCCTGGAGTGCCTAACGCCAGATTTGTCACACCGGAGGACAAAAGTCACACAAAAAAAGACACCTAACTTACTTTGGCCACGTTGCGCGGGGAAATTCGCAGGAGAAAGCCAGGAAGAGTTAGCGGGAAAAGGAAAACCAGGCCGCCCCCTTTTCCCAAAGTCCCAAAGGGCACAAGCTTCGTGGGGGTAAGCAGAGCCAGCCAGGTGAAACCCCTGGGATTTGCCACGGATCCTGCAGAATTGCCAAGAGCTCCCAGCTCCCGGTTTGGTGGCTCGGTTTGTCAAACTCCGGTGCATAATAAACGCACGGAAATGTGTAACGCTCCAAGCCATAAAAGCCTAATTTATAAACTTCCGAAGCTTCTGGATTCAACTTGCGTATTGCGACAAGACCAGGTAAGTGTGTAAATCAAGACACTCTGATTGATAAATAGATTTTAGCCCAACTGCTGAGTTCGCCCAAAACCATCCAGGAACCACGTGGGTTGAATTCCCACGAAGCACCAACTTTTGAAAGGGGGGGTGGCAAGCGAAAAGCTCACAAGGTTTGTGCCCGTGTGGCTCTTTTGTGATGTGGGGAGGGAGGGAAACGGGGGAGAGAGAGGGGGGTTTCTGATCATCCTGTATTGGAAATATTATTCAGGCCTTCAGAGTGACACAGGCCGAGTCGGAGGTTCTTTCAAAGCGACGCCGTGTTTTTATACAAGAGCGGGGAGAGGGAAATCCATATATATATATATATATATGGAAGGTTCTGGGGGAGAAGAAAGGAGAGGGCCCTTCACTCTCTTGTAGAAAGAGACAGGAGAAAGAATGAAAGGAAGAAAAAGAAAGAAAGAAAGAAAAGGAAAGAAATTAGCAGCCCGACCCGTCACGGAGGCAGGCAGGCAGGCAGCCTGGTGTGAAATTCAGTTACAAGGCAGGGAGGTTGGCGAGGAAGCGGAGGGGCAGGAGCCGCTTGAAAAAAAACCAAAAAAGCAGCTTCTCAAAAGAGTTGTGAAGTTTTCCTTCCCAGCACATAATCTCTCTCTCACACACACACACAGACCCCCAAAAGCTGGCAGCGTTAGAACTGGATGGCTGTGCTCCTGAGCAAGTCCAAAGTGCATTTTCGGCCCATCCACTGGGCAAAGGAGGCTGAAGTCCCGTCCCCCGCACACACCTTAAAGCAATTTCTGCACGCGTGTTTTTAACCACGTGCGTGAATTGAGCTGCCGTGGTTTCAGAGGCTTTGTGCGTGGTGGGTCTGTCTACCCACTGGTGGTTTATTTGATAAACCGAATCACGCCTTACAATAGGTGGATGTTAACAGGAGTAAGACCCCCCCCCCCAAAAAAAAAGCTCTTTCGGATGACTAGCCAGCCCCCATCCTTTGGAAGGGGGTCGCCGCCTTTGCAGCCCACCCCCCCGTCCGGTCTTCAGGTCCCCCCCCCGAGCGCATTTCTGGAGGAGGAGGGGGACGAAGCCCAGGGGGGGCCGGGGGAAGGGACCTCCCAACAGGCTCGGCCTTTCCAAACGGGGAGGGGTCGCTTTGGGAGTCCCCCCCCCCCTTTTTTTGTCCTGCCCACGGTGCCTCGGCCGATCCGCGCGTGGGTGCCGAAGCGGCGGGCGACCCTTGCAAAGATCGAGTGGGCGCCTCGCTCCGCCCCCCTTCAGGATCGCCCATGGGGGGGTTCATTGCGCCCCCCACCAAAAAAAGGCCAGGCCCCGCCCCCCCCGTACCAGCCCTGCCTCCGAGCCCGGTTCCCACCCGGTGGCAAACCACGGTTTGCTTAAGCTATGATCTCTTGGCATAAGCATGAGTTTAGCTGGAGGAAGGGGCGACGGTCAGGTTGTGGGGGCTGCTTCAGCCCTCGGAAGGCTCACGGGAGGGCAGGTGGCCCCTTCGCCACCCCGAATCCCCCTCCCCAGGTGGGCTCTGGCTCCTCCCACTAGGGGCGTGGCTCTTCCGCCGGTGCGGTGTCGCATCTCTGCCTCCGGCCGTGAAGCTCGCTTCCTCGGCTCACCTGTAAAGCAAAGCCACCCAAGCAAGGAAACCCAACCGCCCTGGGCGAAGCGGGGGGCTGGGGGGGGGGGACCAGGCCAGCAACCGTCCCCCACCTCCCCAGGATCTCTCAGTTGCTCCCCGAGGCAAATCAAAGGGACCGAGCCGGGCTCTGCGCCCCCCCCCCCAACACACACACTCCACGGCCCTTCGAGGTGGGAACAGCATTGCAGGAGGAGCCGGGGAAAGCGAGGGGCACCCCGAGAACAGCTGCATCGCCGGAGCTCATTTTAAGGAAGGCAATTTTGCAGCCATTTATTCCTCTTTGCATCCACGCCCCCCCCCCCCCCCCCCCCCCCCCCCCT